CGTCCGTGGTGCGGGTGACGTCCGTAGTGCGGGTGACGTCCGTGGTGCGGGTGACGTCCGTGGTGCGGGTGACGTCCGTGGTGCCAGTGACGTCCGTGGTGCGGGTGACGTCCGTGGTGCGGGTGACGTCCGTGGTGCGGGTGACGTCCGTGGTGCGGGTGACGTCCGTGGTGCGGGTGACGTCCGTGGTGCGGGTGACGTCCGTGGTGCGAGTGACGTCCGTGGTGCGGGTGACGTCCGTGGTGCGGGTGACGTCCGTGGTGCAGGTGACGTCCATGGTGCGGGTGACGTCCGTGATGCGGGTGACGTCCGTGGTGCGGGTGACGTCCGTGGTGCGGGTGACGTCCGTGGTGCGGGTGACATCCGTGGTGCGGGTGACGTCCGTGGTGCGGGTGACGTCCGTGGTGCGGGTGACGTCCGTGGTGCGGGTGACGTCCGTGGTGCGGGTGACGTCCGTGGTGCGGGTGACGTCCGTGGTGCGAGTGACGTCCGTGGTGCGGGTGACGTCCGTGGTGCAGGTGACGTCCGTGGTGCAGGTGACGTCCGTGATGTGGGTGACCTCCGTGATGTGGGTGACGTCCGTGGTGCGGGTGACGTCCGTGGTGCGGGTGACGTCCGTGGTGCGGGTGACGTCCGTGGTGCGAGTGACGTCCGTGGTGCGGGTGACGTCCGTGGTGCGGGTGACGTCCGTGGTGCAGGTGACGTCCATGGTGCGGGTGACGTCCGTGATGCGGGTGACGTCCGTGGTGCGGGTGACGTCCGTGGTGCGGGTGACGTCCGTGGTGCGGGTGACATCCGTGGTGCGGGTGACGTCCGTGGTGCGGGTGACGTCCGTGGTGCGGGTGACGTCCGTGGTGCGGGTGACGTCCGTGGTGCGGGTGACGTCCGTGGTGCGGGTGACGTCCGTGGTGCGAGTGACGTCCGTGGTGCGGGTGACGTCCGTGGTGCAGGTGACGTCCGTGGTGCAGGTGACGTCCGTGATGTGGGTGACCTCCGTGATGTGGGTGACGTCCGTGGTGCGGGTGACGTCCGTGGTGCGGGTGCCGTCCGTGGTGCGGGTGACGTCCGTGGTGCGGGTGCCGTCCGTGGTGCGGGTGACGTCCGTGGTG